GCACACCAATTGTCTGTTTTTTTTTTCTATTAAGCTTGCAATACCGTAAAGCTTGTATAGAAACTTGATGCTCTATTAAAATAATTAACTTTCCTGACTTATAAATGGCCCACTTTCATAATGCTAGTTATAACTAAACATATTTGATTCAAACTCCTTACAGACTCCATTACGTTTCATGTTGATATTTGTGATTATTTTTGCCTTGATGCAGGGAATAAAAGTAATTTTAAAAGTTATTTCTTTTTCAGTTCAATCCAAATAAGGCACGTAGTTCAAACAGATCATTAGTGGCTGTTCGATTAACAATTCATTCAGGTTTTTGAGGGACCTACCACAAGCGAAGTTTCGTTATACTGAACCTGCGAGGCATTATTTTCTTACTTGGTAGGGTGCACTTAAATAACTACAACCAGCCGATCTTATTTAGTTAGCAATAACAATTAAAGCTTCTGATTAAATTTAGCTAAAATTAAATACACAAGTGCCTGAAAATTTGTAATATATGATACATTTATTTATTTTTTTGTAAATTTTCCTTGCTTAATTGTTTTTCTGCTTTTATTTAATTGAACATATCTATATATATATGTGGATTAAGCAGTTCCTATTAAGGAAGTACCAGATTATTTATATAACATAATATGTTAATAACACCGTTTTCCTATGGTTGAAGTATCTAGAGCTTTAGTGCTAAGCTGATTGATAAGAAACCCGACATTTCTAGATCCAAGTCGTAAGCGAAATGTTGTCATCTTAACAAAGCCATCTTGAAACATTTTTAGAGGTAATGCACGTTTCGCTTCACAGTTCTCCCTCTAGCACATAAACGATACAATAATCGAATCACCTCTGATCTTCATCAGTTCTTAGCTCAGTATCAAACGGAAACTCTACGGGTTTAGACATTATAGAAATAACATTATAGGAAGGGTAATGTATTCTTATGATCAAACTCCATTGACGCGGGAGTAATACATACAAAAAAAAACACTTCTTGTACGATTGAAAGTTAATAATAGAATAAATCAGAGTTATATCTTATCTGGCGAAACTATTGTAGACCTAAAAAAAAACAACAACATCAAACGCAACTGGACTTTTATTTGTATTATTTACCAACTGCTAACGTGAATTAGAAGCCGTCTCACAGACTGGACTTTACGTGCTCTAGGTGTGTATTCATTGGCTACTCTAAAGTGACGTCATTTGAGAGGTGGTTAGTGGGTAGAGGCGGCAAGTTAAAAGCTTCTCGCACGTAAGGGAATTCAACAGACAGGGAACAACACATAGCGTTATTTCAAAAGTCCTGACTGCTACTGTGACATGCTTTCATCTGTTGTAACCAGTATGTTTCTCGGGTATGTGGCTGTAGTCTCCTTTTTGAGTTTTATTAAACTGTTATCATATTTGCGATTAATGTAAACGGACAAATGAAGTCTATTCTACTTTAATATAACCAATTTTTGTTCTGATAAAATTAATCTGTAATTTTTTTTATTCGTTTTAATATATAGTTAAGTAAATTGATAGAAACGTTTCATGTTTAAGTCATCAGTATTATATTAAAATACTGAGACAAACACTAGTTTACCTAACCTGTTTTTGTACGAAACACTGACTCAGACTAAGTTCGAGCATATATTTGTGACTCAAAATACCATAAACAATTAGTTTTGGAGTCAGATTCTGTTTTTATTTAATTCAACATATCTACATATATGTTTGAATAGTTTGTTTGTTTGTTTTAATTTCGCGCAAAGCTACACGAGGGCTATCTGCGCTAGCCGTCCCTAATTTAGCAGTGTAAGACTAGAGGGAAGGCAGCTAGTCATCACCACCCACCGCCAACTCTTGGGCTACTCTTTTACCACCGAATAGTGGGATTGACCGTCACATTATAACGCCCCCACGGCTGCAAGGGCGAACATGTTCGATGATGGGGATTCTATCCCGCAACCCTTACATTGCGAGTCGGGCGCCCTAACCACCAGGCTACGACAGACATGTAGTTGACCAGTTCAAGAAAAAAAAGGCGAACTGTGAAAGTGGTGTTGAGAGTAAATATTTGAAAGAATCAAATT